GTTCAGCTGCTGAACATGTACATTTTCTTGTACAAGATCTTGTACAGGGATTTTCAATAGGAGCGTGTGCTGACGGTTTAGGCGCCATGCTATTTCAAACTGATTCGAAAGGAACATTGTGTCTAGTTTATGCAATTAGCAGAAGAACTTCGGAAACTGAGAGAAATTATTACTCCTCAAAGTTGGTATTAATTGCAATAATTTGGGCAATGGAAAGATTGCAAACCCTTTTGATCGGATTGCATTTTCACGTTATTACGGATTGTCAAGCGTCAGTACACATAAACACGATGAAAACTAAAAATCCGCAGATAGTGCGCTGGCTTAATTCGATTACTGATTTTAACTTTGAAATTCATCATAGATCGGGAGAGCAAATGAAACACGTTGATGCTCTATCTCGCGCGCCTGTTGAAAATCCGGACGAAACGTTAGAGTCGAGTACTGTATATAATGCCTCAGTGTTTGAATATGTAATTGTTATGTATCAGCGTAGTGATGCTTCTTTATCGCGTAAAATAAATATTTTAGAAAAAACGAGAGATTACGTACACGACGAAAAAATGGTGAAATTAATGGTTATCTTCTGCAAAATGGAATTTTATATAAAAGAGTTTAACCGACCTGAATAAAGAATTATACGTAGTGCCTCGCGCGATGAGAAAAACCTTAATTATAAAAAATCATGACTTCTCGAATCATTTTGTGGTAAACAGAACCGTTACGAGAATAAATGAAAATTACTACTTCCCCAAAATGCGAAGCTACGTGCGAAGACACATAGCGTCTTGTGTCGAATGTTTATTCACCAAACATCGGGCAAGTAGGCAGCTAGGCAAGTTGAATCCGATTCCGGTAGGCAGACGACCATTTGAAATTGTACATTTGGATCACTTAGGTGTTTTCGTAACCTCGGCTCGTGGAAATACTTTTATCAATAATATTATTTTATCAATAATAGAAGCAGAAGTTTTACCGCTAACACATTTAAGAAATTTTCTAATTGTCATGGCATAAAAATAACGTTTAATTCGTCGAAACATGCGCCAGCGAACGGACAAGTCGAACGACTTAATCAAACAATTCTGCCGGCTTTGCAAGCGAGTCTTGCTGATTTTGAAGGTCGTCATTGGGATGACAATTTAGTAAAGTTAGAGAGAGACTCCTTTTGAGTCCTTGTATGGATATATCCCTCGTTTTAAAGCAGGACTCGCTAGAGAGCTGACAGAAAAGTCAGAAAGTTATCGAATACTCGATGAAATTCGACATGAAATCAAAACTTAAATTGAACACGAAGAACTTAAAACAAAAGAGCGATATGACCGAAATAGATTGAAAAATGGAAAGTTTAACGTCGGAGATATTATTGTAATAAAAGCGTCTAAAGCTGCGACTGGTAAATCAAAAAATTGCATTATAGAAACAAAGGTCCTCTTGTAATCACGAAAATATTACTGGCAAGAGCATAATGATACATGTCAAGAAAAAACCAAATTTAATAATAGGGAAGTAACACAAATAGCAACCATGTACATAAAAGCAGAAAACAATTAAAGTGATTAGAAATAATATCGAAAAAATTAAAAGATAATAAATTTGATATTTGAATACGTATTGTACGAGCAGTATTATAAATCTTTTTTAAGACAGCTTATATTTAGATTGTTAAGTTTAAAAGTTTTGGAACATATATAAAACGTGCAAAAATGTACGTTAAATTAAAGATTTTATGTCTACGAAAAAGTTTTAAATCTACGAAATCTATTTAATAATTGATTTAAAATTTGGCGCCATTGTAATAGGTATTAAAACGTCTACACATGTGAACAGTGTTTAAAAAAAAATTGTTTAAATGTGAATATTAATTTAGCGAATTACCACTAAACATTAAAAAGTACCACCAAACGATGTCAATAAGAATTTCTCAAAAATATTGAAAGGAGCAGGGTTAATAAGGCCGGTTTTTGGGTTAAGCTCGGATTAAGCTCAATATACCCTCATTCGTTTGTATAAGTGTAACTCATAAGACAATAATAATGTTAGATTTTTTAAATTCTACATTTTGTATTTTGAAATTCTGACATCAGATTTGTAATCAGCGACATCAAAAACCCCAAAGCAACAAATTTGAATGAATGAATGAATTCGATGAATTTTTTATAGTTAGTTAGCCATTGTTACATCTGGTCATTTTTTCCGACTTTATTTTTTTTCTCTATATTTAATTTTTTCCACGTTTCTTATCTTCTTAAGAAAAAACAACATCCGTTTATTTAAAAAATCATGTTATTTCTTTTATTCACCGACTCATAATGTATCTGTTTTTTCTCTTATTTCTTTATTTAAGCAGATAATGAAGCGTGAAACCTTAGTGGTCAACATAAACAGAATGCACTTTTTCCAAAAATCTAAGAAACTGAAACATCCGTAAGCAATAAAATTATAAAATACAACCATAAAAATCTTTTCGGAACTCTACAAGTGCATCCTCTAGATGTCGACCGCTGGGGTCCTTTTCCTTTCATTTTCGTTTTTCTTACGACAGGTCCGAGAGTCCCGGTCGCCAAGATTTCCTTCTGTTTGTAATAAAATTTGTCTAGGTTCCGAAAATATATATTATGCTAAAATTCACACACACACATATAGTATGAATGAATGCATAAAATATTTTAGAAATAATATAAATTTTTAATAACAATTAACTTTAATAATTAATTTCATTATTATTATTATAAAATAATTAAAATGTTATTTTTCAACAATTTATATTAAATTTTAATAAAACCTAGTAATTGTTGAAATTTATAATTAATTATTGTTTAAAATTATTAATATAAGTAAAATTAATAATAAAAATTATAAAAAATATAAAATTAATAAATAAACAATTAAAATTTAATACAATTTAACAATAATTAAATTATATTGATATTTAAGAAGAAATAATTATAAATAATAAAAATTTTAAATAATTACAACTATAATTTGTAGGTTAGGTTAAGTTATTATACAAATTACTTAAAATTAACAATAATAATTATAGAAAATTATAAATAAATTAAATCTAAGAAATGAATTATTCTTAAAAATCGTCGTAGAACCAAAATTCAAAAAAAGTTATGTAAATTAGGTCAAATAATATTGGTTAATAACAAATTATAATAAAAATTATTATTGTTTATAACAAAAAATTAATCTAATTGTAAAAAGATGCAAAATATAAAAGATCTCCAAATTCTAAATTTATTCAAATTTTATATTTTCAAATTCTCAAAAGTTCAGTGAGATTTCTACGATTATTACCGACATATTTTGCATTTTCAGGGAAAATTATCTTTGATAAATAAAAAGTAAGTTTTAAAATTATATTTACTATCTTTACTTTATTTCTTTTTGAAAACTTCTTTCACTTTCTAAAAATCTTTCACAATTTTCTAATTCCAAAGAATACTGCCGTATTAAAGCTGGCGGTTATTCTTTATAATTGTATTATTTTTACCTATGTGATTCCAAATTATTTCAACCTTTAATTCTAAAATTTGTTAACGTCACTTTATATAGTTGTGACTAACAAATTTTACTCCTTATTTTATGTATTCCCTTTATTTTTCAATTATCTATAAGAAAATTCAATAGAGATAAAATAACCAAAATCAATTCCCAAGCTATTAGATGAGAATCCAGGCTTAAAATTGTAATAAAATTTTTATAACTATAATTTTAATATAAAATATAAAAATTAAATTATTATTATTTGTTATAAAAATTTATAAAATATAATTTATGTTACATTACGTAACACCATATTGGATCCGACATTTTGAATTTTTAAAAACTGGCATCAAATTCGTAATCTGCGACCTCAAAAACCCTGTGTAAAAGGTTTCAAGTGAATCTGATAAATTTTTAAAAATGTCATCCGCTATATTGGATCCGACATTTTGAATTTTTAAAAACTAACACCAAATTCATAATCAGCGTCTACAAAAACACCAGTGTAAAATGTTTCATCTGAATCTGATCAATTTTTTAAAATGTCATCCGCCGTATTGGATCCACCATTTTGAATTTTTAAAAACTGACATCAATTTCGTAATCAGCGACCTTAAAAACTATACTATACCAATATCCATTGACAATTACTCATAATTACAAGAATTATGTGGTTTTTTGTACTTGGACAATTATTGTTACTGTGTTTATTTTAGCGCCATTTTGAAATAGAGCGCACGCAAAAAATATCATATATTTTTGCATATTTTTATAGCTCTAATATGCCTACTGTTTTTAGAAAAGTATAGCGGTGCGACCGCCAAAGGAACCTTGAAAATATTGACTTGTAAGCTAAAATGTTCAAAAACCCATGTAAAATTCAATTTTAAAAGTACTTGGTAAATCCAAGTAAAATATTATTTAGGAAAAACTACTTCATGGTCTTATGAGTTACACTTATACAAACGAATGAGGGTATATTGAGCTTAAAACGAGCTTGGCCCAAAAACCGACCTTATTGACCCTCCTCCTTTGAAAATTATGATAAGAAAAAACCATTTAAAGTGCTTACATTTTAATCTGCTAGTCCTGCACCATTATAAATTAGTCCTTCCTCTTCTTCAAAAGTCAAATCATAAATTCACAAAGGACATTCCTCAGCGATGCCGTTAACAACTTGCTTCGCTACTCGGGGTGAGCTTCATTCATTGCCTGTAGCACGGACTGTACATCGAATATCGCTGTAAAAACTTATTCAGCATATTTTTAAATACATAAGCTGACTATTTATGTAAAAAATTCCATTATTTGAACCATCTAATGTGGTTTACCCCCTTAATGAATATGTATTTCTAAAATATTTACAGTATAGGCTAATTTAGATTAGGAACTTTACCTAATTTTACATGTACTTTAAAACTGAAGCATAACTTACTAATTTTACCGGTAAAGTCAAAATTATATCTTAATTTAAATACAAATTACTAATATAGAATTTTAATCAACAGATTTGCTTGGGAAATTTTCATGCTGTTAGTTTACAGTTTTTCGTTTATAATGATTCCTTTTATAAATTGCTTTGTTATTCAAGATTATATGAATATTTACTTCGACAATGTCAATCTTGGATTATATCCTATTTATTGGATCGATATAATATTCAATTGTGTTACTGGATTTTCCTGTAAGAAGAAGAGAAAAATAGAATTACACCAAGGAAAAATTCTCATGTAATTCTTTTGTATAAGTATGATCTAATAAATTATTCACCCATTGTTATTATGTATCTAAAGTCCGAGGTTAAGCGCTTCTGAAAATTATCATAAAAAAGAAATTATTAATTAATTAATTATTATTAATTTAATAATTGATTTATTATTAATTATTATACAAATTATTTTATCTCTTTTTTAAAAATAAATAATAATAAACCTTTTTTAAAAAAAAAAATTTCCTCTTTTTTCTATACCTACCCGATTTTTTAAATTTTCTTATGGCAGAGGATTACATGGAGCCAGAATATCGCCTCCTAAACCGGGGCCTTCAATGATGTCATCTCCCAGTAATAAAAACAAAAATAAAAATGAACCTCAAACTACATCTCCTATCTCAGGAAAAAGATTTCACGACAATACATCCCCCGCGCTTTCTAATAGCGGTGACAGCCCTATAAGTACAAAAACCAAAGCCCCACTAGATTCTTGGACTTCTCTGCCAACTCAATGCCAAGCGTCTCCTCAATCCTACATCTCGGGTATAATTGATCCCTTAACCACACATAAGGATTTCCCCCCTCTTCTTCTAATCTATACGCAAACAAAAACACGAATTTAACCTTAGCCAAACAAATTAAAGATTTAGAACTTTGGTTACAAAACCAAAATAGTTCTTCAAATTAAAATAAAAAAAAAGAAAAGAAGAAGAAAAGTCTTCCTTACAATCTATTATGGATTAATAAATCCTATTCCAATGAAGCCAGATTCGATCCTCATTCAACAGAATCTTTTAAAATTCTAATACCAAAGTAGCACGTAATATTACAGAAATATTAAAATGTCCGCCTCATGGTAATATTACCGGATAATATTACTACACGTTTATTTGAAATACATAAAAATTTCAAAGTTTTTATAATAAAATACAAAAAGATAAGAATTAATCTGTAAAATATTTTTAAGTATTTTTTGAAATTTTTTGTAATATTACCATGAGGCGGACATTTTAATATTACAGTAATATTACGTGCTACTTGGGTAGATCTTCCACTTCTGAAGAAAAACTAAAAAAAGAAAATCGTGCGGCTTTCGCTGAGCATCTTGAGAAACTGGTAAGCGATCCTCTGTGCATCATTGTTGCTAACGACAAAAACCAGATTATTGTCACTTCTTCTTCGTGGCAACTTGCTAACGCTCTCTTAGACAATAGTGTCTTACGTTCTGAGGAATATAAATTATATATCTCCCAATTTTTGGACAGTAGGAAATTCCTAGTTGATAACATCGACACAACCTTATCTCCATTAGAAATCAGCACAAAATTAAGTCCTGACGGCGAGACTCTTAAACAATGTTTCGTATGAATAGGCTGACGAAATTATACTCTATCAGGGCTTCTTGCGACCAGGAACAAACTGAATAAACAGAAACGGCCTCGACTGGAATGGAGTCAAATTCATTAGATCTTTCTAAAGATTCTTTCTCTGCTTCTGCTCCTCCAATCCCTTGTGATAACTTCTATATGAACTCGTTCGTCTCCACTGTCCTAAATCTCAACTCCTCTCCCTCAATATCTCAATAACTACCCGAAACGACTACTTCAAGCCATTTATGAATATAATAGTTTGCACATATTGCAAATTTGATGAATTATTTACTTTGTAATTCTTATTAATATAATTTTGTTAAATTTTAATAATAAATGTTAAACTTCCAATCATTAGAATTTTGTTTTTGAAAGCCTGGTAATTTTTATGCCTCCAGAGTTGAATTAATTTTATCTATATAAAATTTTTCGAAAATAAGCCCCCCCCCTTAAACATATTATATAATTTATATTTAGGGCATTAAAGAAAAAAATGATAAAAACTGGTCTCCTAAATTCGTATTCTACATTAAATATAGAGTTTAAAGTGTCATATTTATGAATCGGTAAATCGTACAGCAATCAATTTTTTTAATTTTACAGAAAATTTTATGTACTGTGACGTGGCATTCTATGCCAGTCACAATATTGTTTTTCTTTTGTTTTTTTTATAGTAGTAGGGAATATTTTTTTGTAAGGGGAATAAGTTCCAGAGTGCGAATCACCTTATTCCTGAAAAATAAATTAAAATTATTATAAATAATATAAAAATGTAAAAATTGAATTAAATGATAATTAAATAAAAATGGTACTGGAACCTGCTAACTCGTCAGATCGTACAAAGGAAAAACAATTATGTTGTTCACATCATGATTGTTTATTTTTTTTACCTTTCATGAAATTTGACCAATTCGAGCGGAGTAATTCTCCGACTAAACAAAATAAGTGGACGTTTCCATATAACAATATGAATTTGATGCTTACCACAAGGGATGTGTTTCCCGGTGTATATATTCGGAAGAGATTCCCGAATATTCAAGAGCACCGGGAAAACGAAAATACATTGGTATAGTCAGCTGTCACAACAATGGGAGCGGCCATTTTGGATAGAGAGCGCTACGATGCGCCGTGGCACGGTAGCGTTCTACTTTACCGTCCGGAATCATGCAAAATATGGACTAGTGATATATTGATTATCGATAAAGAGAAAGTTTTAATAATTACTTTCACCGGGACTCACTTCTAAAAAGAAAGCGCACAAAGAGACGCCGACTAGCGTGACAGGTCAGCCATTTTTAGTCATTCTCATTCTGGAAGTGTAATAGGCAACAAGCCCTTTTTGATAAAATAAAATATAATTGTGTGTAAAAAAAATTAAAACAAATCATGTCAAGACGAGGGTCATTGAGGGGTCGGCGTCATATAGACGGTGAGTCCCGAGTGTATTAATTAAGTTGTCAGCCAGATCGGCATATTATTAAAAACAATTTATTTTGTATAATAAAATTTACTATTGGTATAAAATTTCTTGCATAATAAATCACATGTGGATATTATTCGGCCTTCTGCCGAATACCTTATTAACAAAATTATTCATTAAATTAAAAATTATTATGAAACAAATTAAGTGAAGTGTTTTACTTGTGTCTTTATCCTTTCCCCCCACTCTCCGCGGGTTATTGGTATACTACAATGACGTGCTGAGCCAGCAGGCGAATATTATATTAAATTCAAATAATAATAGAATGGCTTAGTTATTTTCCATAAAAATAACTTGGCGTCTTTATAAAAAAAATAATAAATTAAAAATAAAGTAACGTGAGATAATAAAATTTAAAATTAATAGTTTGGGTGAAATTAGAGTAAAAATAATAGAAAAATGATTAGTCAAGCAAAAATCACGTTATAGTACCTTAATTCACCTTTAACGATATTAATATGAAGTGCCTAACATACTAGCTAATTTCAAAAAACCTTTGAAAAACCATCTTTTTCCATCAATTTTTAACAAAATTAGTATTTTAACATATTTAAATGGATTAATTCTTGCAGAAACTTGTACATGATCTTACACACGATCTTGTTCGAGTACACGAGCACGGACTCGTATAGTGGATTCCATTAAGGCGCTTGTATACCTCACCAATCCCGAGTATACTTCTGTCGTGTACCATTGGAGTAAAAGAAACAAAAGATATTTCCGTCTCTTTTACTCCAATGGTACAAGACGCTAGTATACTCGGAATCGGTGAGGTATACAAGCGCCTTTAGTTGACAAAAATATGAACATGTGCATGTTCTAGTACAAGATCGTTGTTCCAATTCTTTTTACATGTTCACTTGCTGCTCTTGTACATGACCTGGTGAATGAACTTGAACTTTCGTGACATCTTGCTACGAATATTCCTCTACCACTAACTCATGACCATTTAATAGCTGTCCTCAGACGATGTATTCTAGAATCGGGAGCATTCATCCCATCTGGCTCCTCTATCCCGAAGCGAGCTAAACCCCTGTAGTGGAATATGATAATGCGCTGAAATATAGAAGAGAAAACTACAGATGATCTTATAAGAGAGGATTTGCCTCCATTCTTCCTTTCCTAAATCCTGGCTAGAGACACATGTTCTTGTTATAACTAAACCTGGAGAACAGGGATACAGGCCGATAGCCCTTACTTCTGTTTCCTCGAAAATTTTTGAGAAACTTATTCAGCGATGAATGGATCATGAGGTCGAATCACGTCGCCTCATCCCTAGTTTGGCTTTAAAAAAGAGAGGTTGTCTATGGATTGTGTGGCCATATTTGTATCAGATATTCTGAATGGTTTTTCGGAATCGGCTCACACCTTGGCCATATCAATAGACATTAAAGGTGCCTTCAACAGCGTTTGTCCCTCGATCCTGAACAGAATACTTGTTAATCTTGGATTCCAACCTAACATTATAAACTTTATTACATTTATTACTACTAAAAGGCGCATCTCTTTTTCCCATGATGGATCGGATGGAAGGTTTTGCCAAGTTGGCGTCCCTCAAGGAGGTGTCCTCTCCTCTTTGCTAGTCAATCTTTAATTGCGGGGCATTACTCGAATTCTTCTTGAAAACATGAAGTACGCAATGTACACCGATGACCTACTCATTTATTTCCGATTTATAGATCCGGAACTGGCCTCCAATTCTTGCTTTAATGGTCTACGAGGGACTCATTCGAACCATCCTGGATTGGGGAGCTCCTTTATCTGCAGATGTTGCCCCTTCTAATTTAAAGATTTTGGACAGAATTCAAAACTCTGCTCTAAGAATCTCTCTAGGTTACATGAGATCTACCCCAATCCCAGTCTTCCAATTAGAAGCTGGAGAACCTCCACTTGCCCTTAAAAGAACTTTTCTTACCAACACATTTCTCTTCAGGAACTATAGGTGGGCGATAACCCACTCTCTCCAAAATTACAGCTGTTAAGCGAAAGATCTTTACGATTTAGATTTCGTCTGAACAAAACTAGATTGTTCTTTTTAACACCCCAAGTAGCGCGCAATATTACTTGAATGTCAAGCTGATACCAAACGGGAATATTCTTGTAAAAATCAAGCGATGTCATAATTTCCGCTTCATGGGGACATTCTATGGTGATATTCCTGACATTTGCATGACATTCGTATGATTCTGACGGAATATTCTCGTGAAATTCATGTAATATTGAGGGAATATACCTGTAATATTGAGAGAATATTCCTGAAACTTATAAAATTCTAAAATGTTGTTTGTTTTGATTGTTTTGAATATTTAAATAAAAAAATTAATAAATGGAAAAATATAGAAAATTTTTTTTTTTAGAATTTTATAAATTATTTCATCAATATTACAGGGTTATTCTCTTAATTTTAGAGGAATATTACCTCAATATCACAGGAATATTCCACTCTATATCACAGCGATACCCCCTCAATATCACACAAATTTCACGGGAATATTCCCTCAGTATAGTGCGAATGTCATAGGAATAATTCAACCAATATTCCGTGCTACTTCGGATAAGAACTACCAAAGATCCTGCATACCTAGATCTACCACGGGACATTTTGTCTTATGATTCATTTATGTTTTTTTATTAACATTTACAAGTTAGAAAAATAAAATGATTCATGATTTTCATAGGTTTTTTCACGTAGATTTCGAATCCAAAGTTGGAAATACTCCAGCATTTTAATTTTTCATTAAAAAATAGGTTTCAATCATAAAAAACGGCCTTTTTATGTTAACTTTAAAGTAATATAGAAAATTATCCCGAAAAGTTGCAAACTTCGGGTTGGCCTTAAAATAATAAATAAACCTCCAACAATAAATTATGTATATCGAAAACCCAAATGTTTAATTAAGATTTTGCCAAAAACGATTTTTGCAATAAGCGCGTTTCACCAGTAGTTTCGTACACTGACCGTCTGCTGCACTGCTTCCTATTTAGATTTGTATTAAAAATGCTTGTCTTGTAAATAATAATATAGGCAATTACAATACAAAATAAGCATGATTCTACATATATTATCATTGATAATACTTTCTAATAACTGTACGTCATGATTATTTTTCAATTTTTAATAATAATTGTTTTTATTATTCTTAATAACCATGAAACAAAATGTCCCATTAGTAGTTCTAGGTATGTCAGTTCAGATCGCAGGTTCTAATAATGATAAAAATCTGAAATTTGGTGTACTAATTAAACTCAATAAAAAAATAAAAGTCAGAAAATATCAGCTCTCTAGCTAGTCATTAACGGAAGATACACTAGTGCAAACGTGTGCGACGGGACAATTTGTACCATCGGTAGTTCTAGTGTTAAATGCATATGAACGAACAATTCCTGTTCTGAAGGTAGGTAAACCTGGAAGTACCACTTTCAAAAAATGGTTTTTTTAGGTTACAATTTAGGGTTAATTTAATACCACATACAGAAATTTAGAGTCCTTTAACTTTTTATAAAAACCCTTGGACTAAAAGCTTGACGTCAAGCTAGAAGTACCATACCACTACAACTTAATGTTTTCCAAAAGTGATTCCATAGAAATTTAGGGCTAATTGATATATCCGAAAACTGACCTTTAAAATTAAATAATAATATTTTCTGAAAATTTCTCCACAGTAATTTAGAGCTCATTTAGGGCTTTTAAGATTCATAAAAATTAATTTTCAAAAAACTACCGATCTATCCTAAAACTATCTCTTTAAATTAAATGTCAATATTTTCAAAAAATTTCTCCACAGAAATTTTAAGCTCTTTCAGGGTTCTTAAAATCCATACAAATTAATGTTCAAAAAACAATCCTATATTCCAAAACTACCCTTTTTAAATTAATTGTCAATATTTTTCAAAAATTTTTCTACAGGAATTTAGGGCTCTTTAATACCATAAAAATAATTTTTTAAAAATCACCCCTAAATTCAAAAACTAACCCCTTAAAATTAAGAAAAAAGTATTTTGTGTTACGAACCCAGGAAATTGTTATTAAAAATTATTAAACGGTAAAATTCAATTAATTTAAAATAGTGATCCTTTGAAACAAAAATAATTTTTTTTGTTAGAGAAGGCACCAAGCTGCCAGAATTTTCATAAGATAAAAATAAATGCGCAAAAGAGAAAAGAAAATCTTAATCAATCCTGTTTAATTTATGTGGGGTCGTTTATCCAATTTAAATGACGTATCTGCCAAGCCTTGCACTTGTGTATACAAAAATCGACATTTAGGATTTTGACCAATGGCAAAACAACAATAAAATTCAACACTTTTTAGTACACTATTTAATAAAAAAATTGTTTTTAGAAAATTACAATTAATAAAGTAATCTCGAGACTCATAACCTCACTCATAAAGAGTGAGATACAAATAAAGAAAACAATGAGAAAAGGTGAAACAACTCAGCTGGGCCATTTCCGAAAAATAAAAAATCAGTTATGAGATTTTTTTGCTATTTTTAGCCGTCAAAACTAATTTTTTTGCTCTATTGCCTTTAAAGATACAATGACCCTGGTGGATTTAATTTACCCAATATCCACCCACATGGGTAGATATTGGGTCCACATTAGGAATAACGTAAAAAAATTGATAAATAAGCTAAAATTGTTCAAAAAACATATTGTAATTGAGAGATTGACTTCTTAAGAGTTCACTTCTGCATTGTTTATGTTAAATTAATTGAGAGTTATATAATTATTAAGGAAAAATAGTGAAATCTGTCACTTTAGATATGCACGATACCTACAGCAAATAATGTTTCAATTCCAAACGCGCGCCAAGATTTGAAAAGAGTTAAAAAATTTAAACATTCATCAAATAGAAAATATGTAATTTTTTTCTGTATTTATAAAAAAGAACTTTAGAATTTTGCTAAAATAATAAAAATGAAGCTGATATATTTTTCATAAATTTTTACTTATAACTTTTTAAACAATTCTTAAATAAAAGATCAAAAAATTTAGTTAAATTTGTATTTTGACACCATAATTTAAAAAAAATTTATAATTTTTTAGACATAAAAATAAGAAAAATTTAGATTAAAATTTATTTAACAATCACAATTTTTTAACAAAATTCTTTTTTTTAAAAAAAAGTTGTAGAATTTTTATTTCATATTCACAATTCTTTAATGAAATTCTTTTTTAAATACATGTTATAAAAAATTAATCATTTATTTATATATGATAATTATTTATCATTTTTTTTGCTCCTCGGATTAGTCTATAAAACCTAATTTTCTTACTCAATACACTCCTTACAATTACCCAAGAAGCACGTAATCTATCCTCAATATCAAGGTAATATTACACGTGAGATTCGTAATATAACGCTGTAATATTACAGTAATCTTACAGTGATCTTAAAATGTCCGCCTCAAGGTAATATTACCGGGAATATTACTGTAATATTAACGGTAATATTACAGTAATATTACAGACTGATTTGAGTTATTCATAAAGCATAAAAAACGGAAATATATTATAAGTCAATTTGGCTTGTTGGTAAAACTCTGGACTCGTGTGCTTTGAGTTCGGGGTTCGATTCCCTAGATGGGTAGATTTTTTTCGTAAAGAAATGTTCCCATAATATTACTGTAATATTCTCTTGTAATATTACCTTAATATTACGGTATAATATTACTGTAATATTACCTTAATAGTAGCGCGTAATATTACAGTAACATTACCGGTAATATTACCTTGATGCGGACATTTTAAGATCACTGTAAGATTACTGTAATATTACAACGTTATATTACGAATCTTACATGTAATATTACCTTGATATTGAGGATATATTACGTGCTTCTTGGGTAGCGATGAGTTGTACAATTTTATTATCGTTTCTCATCGGGCAAAACGAAAACTTCCACACACAAAAAAACAGTCCTTATATATAATGTTCTTATTTTTTTGCACTTTTTGGCAAGGTAGCGCGCGAAAAGCACTTTTACGGGTCCAACGGGCTCGGGCGGCGCAGGCACCACGCGTGCGGACCGTGAGGAAGTTTGGCAAACATAATAAGGCTGATGTAGTAGTTGTGTAGCTATCACCCTGACTTAGAGTCGTTTTTAAGCCTGTTCATATTAATGGTTTTAGCGTTAACTTATTCATTATGAAGTTCATACATTATGGATGGGCGCAAATAACAACGTAGATTTTGGACCATAGTTCTGAGCTTTATTCTCCCTGCTAAAGATATGCTTGATCATTGATCTCGTGAAATGATAGAACCCCTGGGTGTTGCTCATTAGGGTGCGATTGGATCCTCTGGTTTACGCGCATTTTATTTTTGTACCGTGTGAAGTAGTAAACAAGATATACCTTTCCATTTCTAACCCCTTCCCCTAATAAAATATCTTTTAACAAGAAGATAGCCAAACACCGAAACAATCAGAAAGATTCAACTAAATTTTAAAAATTTACAGGTATTACATTAAAGGATATTTACTCATAGATGTTATAACATCTATCCCTTACGATCGTATTACTTTCACATGGAGAAAGTTACCAGGCATAGACAGTTCGATATTGATTGATATGATCAATTTGTTACCAATGCTCAAGCTTTTGAGATATTCTACTTTCAATAAGTATATCTTTTATCTTTTCATAGTAAGTTTATTTCTTCCTTTAGTAAGTATTTAATTTTTTTACACTAGTATATTATTATATTTATTTTGTGTTTCAGAATTTTGACATCAAAAACTTTTTATATCAAATTTTTACAATCTTGTTACTTTTCTTATTTGTTACATACTGGACTGCTTGCTTTTGTTATGTTATTCCTGTACTTATAATGAAAGCTTTTCCTGAAACGGTAAAAAAGAATTTCAATATTTATTTTTCATGAAATATAAAAAAACATGTACTTACCAATTTCATTTATTTTAATCTTCCATAACACTCTACTACACTGTAAAAAATTAGGGAGTTAACGGCACCGGGAGTTAAATTTTTTGAGTTAAAAATCAACTCAAAAAGGGAGTTAATAACACAGGTCTACAAGATTTTTTTGAGATATCAGAGTGGTTTCCATTGTATTTTTGTGCGTCGACCACAATCCCATGTTCCTAAATTGCGTATCACGTCAGGATTTTGAGTAAACGAGAAATTAAATGTTTAATCGACGTCTATCCGACATCTAAAACGTTGAGAACAGTGTCTAGGTCTAAATTTGATCTAAATTAATTAAAAATAGATGTTAATTTAAATGTGTTTTTAAGAAGTAGAAAATTGTTTAAGAGCATTTGAACCTTCGTGACGTCACAAATCATGGCGCATGACACGCAAACTTCTCAGGTATGTGAAAAGCACAATTTTGAATATTTTTTAAAAAAACCTTTTGGAAAATGTTCAGAATAACATAGACTCTGTCTGTTATGTGCGGAAAATTCAAAATTTTGCGTTTAAAACATTTTTTAAACAATGTTAAGGTCACAAATCATGGCGCATGACACGCAAACTTCTCAGGTATGTGAAAAACACAATTTTGAATATTTTTTAAAAAAACCTTTTGGAAAATGTTCAGAGAAACATAGACTATGTCTGTTATGTGCGAAAAATTCAAAATTTTGCGTATAAAACGTTTTTTAAACAATGTTTAAGTTGGTTGTCACAAGTAAGGAAAAATACACGAATTGCTTATATGTAGGCATTGTTTAAAAAACGTTTTAAACGCAAAATTTTGAATTTTTCGCACATAACAGACATAGTCTATGTTTCTCTGAACATTTTCCAAAAGGTTTTTTTAAAAAATATTCAAAATTGTGTTTTTCACATACCTGAGAAGTTTGCGTGTCATGCGCCATGATTTGTGACCTTAACATTGTTTAAAAAACGTTTTAAACGCAAAATTTTGAATTTTCCGCACATAACAGACAGAGTCTATGTTATTCTGAACATTTTCCAAAAGGTTTTTTTAAAAAATATTCAAAATTGTGCTTTTCACATACCTGAAAAGTTTGCGTGTCATGCGCCATGATTTGTGACGTCACGAAGGTTCAAATGCTCTTAAACAGAACCTTAAACATATAAAACCGACCTCTTGTCCAAACACAATTTTTTTAAATCTTTTAAAACTTTTTTCAAGCATTTAAGAAAAAACCGAAGTACGATGCAAACTTATATTACTCCTCACAGAACTAGATATTCTAAAATATACCTGGAACGTCCTACGGATATATATTTTCTTCCGGCGGTTTGAATATTCTGAGGATATACAAACCGCCTGATATCCTTAGGACGTCCCTCGGACATCCTGAAATATCTGGTGCTGTGAGGGACTAAGACAATCATTAATTCATGGGTATTCTAAGGTTTTTTGATTTACTGAATCCACCATTTACCTACAAACAAAATCAAAAAATTTAAAATGACGGCTTTATAATATAGACAATACTGATAGTGTCATATTGTCTCAGCACTAAGGATTTACCGACGTATGTGCGATATTGCTCTTATATTCTTACCTTCAATATAATACGCCACCCAAGTAGCACGTAATATTACAGCAATATTACCCGGTAACATTACTGTAATATTACAGTGATATTAAAATGTCCACCTCATGGTACTATTACACGGTAATATTAAGGCATTATTACTGTAATATTACAGTAACATTACTGTAATATTATATCGTAATATTAAGGTAATAGTACACAAGAATATTGCACTAATATTAGAAGAATATTATTTCCCGAAAAAAATGTACCTAACCGGGTAATCAAACCCCGAACTCAAGGCACACAAGTCCAGAGTTTTACCAACAATCCACACTGACTTACAATATACTTATGATTATAATGCTTTATGAGTAACTGAAATCAATCTGTAATATTACTGGAACATTACCGTTATATTACAGTAATATTACTCGGTAATATCACCATCAGGCGGACATTTTAATATTACTGTAATATTCCAGTAATATTACCGGGTAATGTTACTGTAATATTACAGTAATATTACGTGCTAGTTGGGCAAAGGAATAATCTATCTACCTTCCACTGTGAAATAAGTGTTGTCTAATAAACACTTTTTGTCGAATTAGAAATCGAATAGATGGTCTACGACATTAATTACCCAGTGGGCACCAGTACATCTAAAAGACGTCCTAAAGACGTCTTTTTTGTCCGCGGACATTCTGGGGATTTTGATGATAAAATGTCTCGAAGACATCCAATGGACGTTTTTAACATGTTCTATGTCGTGGCCGAAAGATGTCTTTTGGACGATATAGAATATAGTCAAAGTTTTTTCTAAGTTTAACACATTAATTATTATCTTATTTAAATTTTAACTTTTTTATGTTTTTTTTCTACACGCTTATACAGAAATCAGGAATGAAAAAATCCTCCCGAACCTGACATCGAACCCGCGATACGTTGGGTTGAAACTCTACGCCTTAAGCGTCTGAGCTATCGGAGACAGATAAATTCCTTTACAAAGTTTACGAACTTATTTGTCAATGAAATGAATCGAACTTAACAAATTTCTATAAGATTTATCTTAAACAGTTTCGATGTTTAGGTTGAACTTAGAAAATAAAATATAAAAGTTATTTTTATTAAAAATTTTCTATTTTTAAAATCTGAAAAAGACGTTTAGACATGATAGAGACATATTTATGAACAGATATAGAATCTTTTTTGGACGTACCTGAGACGTATAATTCACGTTTTTAAGATATACCATACGGGGACAAATTAAAGATGTCTTTAAGACGTCCGCAAAATGACATCCTTAGAACGTCTTCTGAGGAAGTGTGCCTACTGGGTAGTATACTAATTTCTTACCGCGGGGGGGGACTACCAAAATCAGCATAATAGACGTCTTATAAAGTTCCCTATATATGTAACCTTTAAGGAATCCTAAAGGAATTTTCAATAGGGTTCAATTTTATCTACGTGTTAGACGTCCAATAGACTCCAATTTCGACGTCTACAACCTATACGTCTGTAGATGTCTTATGGCGTCCCATTTCGACATCTAGGTAGATCTTGATTTAGACATTATGTTGATCTTGGTCTAGTCGTTAAATAGACGTCGATTAGACCTTTCATTTCTCACTGGGAAGTGGGGGTAAATTCTCCAAAATCCTTGTATTTGAGGGTTTTTAGTACTTTTTTTCTCCTTAACCTAGTGTGATAGAGACTTCTACATAGGCTTATATTAAAGCCTAGATCGTACACTTTAAGACTAATATTCGCAAAATAAAAAAATTAGGTTCAAGTCACCCAAAATAGTTTCGTAAATAAACGTGATAATGACAAGACCTTTTGAAGTTTTTGTCTATGCGTTATGACACACTTACTGGCAAACAAACACATCAATTGACTAAAAAGGCTCAAAATAGCAGGCAGTAATACATCTCTCCACGTCTTACCCTTTAGAATGTTCTAAGGATATCTGACATTTTTTGGAGGTTTAGATATACACGGATATCTTTTACCCATTCTATGAATACTAAAACTCCTGCAAATTACCACATAGACTTCCATATGGTTTCCTACATTCAAAGCCATACGGGTTGTTATGCAGAGGCCTATGTGACAATTTTCAGTAGGGCTTAGAATGTCCGCAGGATATCCTAAAATTTCTAGTGCCGCGAGGTGGAGTATAAAATTATTAAAATACTTTTTACAGGAATATAATGATCTTTGGATATCTCAAGTGGATGGAAACGAAAGTGTTGATTTTTTCCGCAGTGCCCTTTACATAGTCTTGGATAATTTTACCGCAAGTGGATATGGTTTAAAAGAATCAAAATCTGAAACCCATCTCATAATTTGTACAGTTTTAATGATATTTGGAAGGTTATTTGAGTGTTATTTAATAGGTATATATTTAATATAAATAATTAACGCCTTAAACCTCTGAATTGTATGTAAACAGGAGTAGAGTTTTTGATGTAGATGTAAAAAAACCTGTATAGGACTTTGTACTGGAACTTGTAGAGGAATTTTCAACTGGGTAGTGAATGTCTGAAAACATAAAGAAATGTTGAATTTGCTTCCTGGCAGTAGTTTTCATATATACCATAATTAAGAATAAATTTTAGAGGTTTCAGATGTTACTGGTACTTTTTTGAATATATCTAATTGTTTTTACTAATGTATATATTTTTGATAGTTCTGGTTTTTCAAATACGCAACGAGGCAAATGCAACGAAATCTAAGGCGTTAGAAATTATCGATCAAGTTTCTACTTATGCGAATCAAAAACAGCTTTCAATAAATATGAAAAAAAGAATTTTGTCTTATTATCATTATCGTTTTCAGAATAATTATTTTCGACAAAATGAAATTTTCTCAAAATTTACAGGTAAGAAAATTATAATTCGAAAATTAATTTCTTCCGCAAAGCGTGTAGATTTTGTAGGGCTAAGGGTACATTGATACTTGTTTGAAATGTTCTTGTTAATTGGAAATTTTTAAAAATCCGTGTTCAATTTTCATAAATGGATAAGCAAGGATCATACTCTTAAATGATTTTAATCAAAGAATATATATATAAATATATATATATATATATATATATTAAGTTAGAGATTCCTTTAGATGAGCTTTGTGAAGAGGTCATTTTGAATTCTTGTCGACGACTTATTCAGAATGTAGTGATGTTTCATAACCTTCCAAAAACCATATTAACATCAATTGCTGTAATTCTGAAACCTGAATTACATCTTGAAAATGATGTCATTTTAAAGGCAGGAACACGTGGTGACTGTATGTACTTTCTTGCACGAGGTACTGTTGCAATCTTAACTGCAGCCGGAAAAGAGGTTTGTAGAAATAGCTAAAAATAGACTTTTTTCGCCTCAATTATAATATAACATAAATTATAATTGAATTTTAATTAATTTTATTTTATTTTCGAACGTAACCGGAATAATTCCGGATAATAGTAACCCGACTCTAAAGCGGACTATTTCACATTAATTCCACATTAACAAAAATAGTCACTCATTTCAACTGTGAGAGAACTGCACCTGGCAGTATGAGTGATAAAAGCAACAAAACCTAACTAAATCCAGATTGTCGCGGATTAATTATGGATTTAATACATACAGAATGTCGGATTATTCCAGACTAATTTCGGATTCAGATTTTTAAATGAACTGAATCTATGTCTAGAATCTAGATTGTACGAAAACAGTCCGAAAATGATATGAAATATTCCAAAATTAGTGCGAACAAAACGATAAATATGAGATAAGTCCGAAGTAGTCCGAAACTTATATGAAATCAGTCCGTAAAAATTCGATTCTAGGTCGATCAAAAAACTTAATCTAAAATGAGTCCGGAATAATCCACACTGTAAAGAAGTCCGTGTTATTGTACAACGTCCGACGTGGGAAATTTTGTGCACACGTTAGACGTGTGAATTTACTTACAGCGTGTTAAGGGAATTTACATGTAGCGTGTAATATAACACAACCTGTATGTTTTTTCACATCTTCAAATATAGGCCAACGCACAATAGATTCGCGAAAGTCGTTCGTTAACGATATGCATGAGATAGAAAACAATACAAATATATCTCTGTCTTTTTCTAACTCATATTTCACGTTCGCGAAGCTATTCTGATTAGGCCTCATAACAATCGGCAACCCATTAGTTAAATTACACACTGCATGTTTACTCCATGTGGCGTGTTATTCTACCTTGGCAATGTAATTAAGGTTTTTCATATTCAACGTTATGTACCATGCGCAAAACTCTTCACTTCGGCCATTTGCACTATGTTATCTCTGGCGTTCGTTTGTTTTTCAAGTGGTTTTTCTGATTTTGTTTGTTTAAATATTGTGCCAAACACTCAAACACAAAAGTAAGTAAATATATAAATCTTAATATTATATTTTCTTTAATAGTTATTCAGTTAAATACTTTAGCAAAGGTATGTCTTTGACTGTAATTAAAATGTTACACATTTCCCAACCACGTGGAGATAAATTCTACAAGATTTCAATTTTTTTCAACAATTAAAATTGATCAATTTAATGTTGCAAGTGACAAAATATATATAAAATACAAAATGTTCTTTAAAAAAGTATAAAATAGAATTATAAAAATATACTAAATGAGGCATTAAGACCCTGTGGGCAAAATTTAATATTTGTTCTAGACTTAAAGCAGGTAAAAACACATATAATAAATACAAAAAAAATTATTTTTGTTCCAACCTCAAATGTGTTTCAATTTTAACTGTTGAATTTTTTACATTCTCATCATAATGAGAAAGTATTACATTTTATTATTCCACTTATTTCAATCAATTTAATATATTCCTATAATATCGGCATCATTGACACACATATTGCCTGAACGCGTGTGCCACACAAACGGGCGGGCTATTTTGACAGCTATGGCACGCACATTGTGCTGCATTCTAGCCGGCACGTCGTCCGATTAATGGGGCCACAGACAGAACATGGCGCGCTATTAGGTAGACATTTTGTTATCTGCGAATCTGCAGAGACTATTAAGTTCTGCTCTAAATGTTTTATTATATTGCATTGTAATATTTTTATAAAAAAAGTTCTGTAAGAAAATTTTTAAATAATAATTTAGTTCTGTAAGAAAAAAATAAAAACTTATTTGATCGATTTATCAGATTTAGTTTCCTTTGATTATAATATAATTATTGTTAAAAAAAGAGAAAGAAAAAAAATTTACAAGCAAATGGTATAAATACAACATTTGTTGGTTATATTACATGCATAAGTTGAATTACACGCTGCATGTTTTCCAAAAATATATATTCACTTGGAAAAACATGCAGTGTGTAATTTAACTGATGGTTTTCCGATGGTTATATTTGAGGGATGTGAAAAAACATGGAGGTTATGTTCGATTACACGCTTCATGTAAATCCACACGTTTAACGTGTGCACAAAATTTCCCACGTCGGAAGTTGTAAAATAACACGGACTTTTTTTACAGTGCAGAGTGTATATGTAAGAAATTCGGTATTAGTCATCAACTATCTGGTGTTAATCTGGTATAACATCTTAAGCAGAAATACATTCGGGAAAATCCGGAATTTATATTTACAAAATCATCATTGTTTTGGATTAATTCCCGATTTTTTACATACATACTTTAGACCGAACAAAATCCGGATTCGTTACACACAGATCCCTACTGAAAATCCCTGAACAAGATCTTGTACAATTTCCTGTACAGAATCAGCAACTGAACTTGTACAAGTTCTGACCAGTTCCTGTACAGGAAAATGCATACGAATTTGGAACAAGTTCATGTGTGAGATCTTGTACAAGATCTGGTGTAAGATCTTGTACAAGAAAGATACTTGTACATTATCATGTACAAGTACTTGTACATGAACACGTCCATGTTCTTGCACATGTTAATTCATGTTTTTCTTTACTAAAAATTAAAAACTTCAAAGGCTGCGCAATAGTTTACTTTAACCTTTACAGCTGTACAAGATCTTATACAGGGATTTTCAGTAGGGATTGCCTACTAATTCAAACTTCTTTCTGATTAAGATTTTTGATCAGAATGCGACTGCTGATTTTGAACAAATAAATACCGAATTTTTCCAGACTCATTTCAAACTAAGATTTTTTACCACATTAAATCAGTATTATTGTGTACTAATACCGAATTTTTCACATAAAGATTTCAAATTTATTGAAAATCTTTCGTGAATATGGCAACAGCCCTCTTTTACTTAAAATAATATTTGGCAACACCGAATTGTAACTTCGTGCCTTTTTCATTATGTATTTAGTCAGTCAGTATTTTGGAAACCTTGGAAATATAAACACTCATATTTCTAGAATAAAAGGTGTTCTTTGATTCTAAAATTCCCACCTCCTCATTCACTTATAATCAAAAAGATTGTAAGGGAGACTCATTTCGGATTCAGTTTTTTGACTCTACTTAATCCAGATATGGGTGAATCTACAAACGAGGGAATTATGAGCGGTCAAGCTTATTTTGTATATTAATTTTGAAAAAAATAATTTAATTTTTGATGAAAATTGTAAATCTAAATGGTTTCTATTGTGGCACTAAAAAGAAGCCGCTGAAAAAAATATTACTTGCAAAAAACACACATCAAATTGATAAATTCTCATTCGTCTGACATGTCCCGCAGTGTAAATGAAAGTTCATATTGTGAAAAAATATTATTTTTCGAGTGTTTACAAATTCTCATTCGTCTGGCATCCATTTTGTAAAAAAAATATTATTTTTAGGTCCTTTTATAGGCTTATATATTGCAAATTTGAATTCTCCATCGAATAGAATTACTTATTTTTTATTTAATGTTATTTCTACCTTTTTTTAAAAAAAACTGCCAAATTCTCATTCGTCTGGCACTTTTCAGACAGGATATGAATTAAGCACTAAAAACAGCGTAAAACTACTAATTTTTTAACAATTTTCGATTTTCTTGACTTAAAATAATCCTCACTAAATTTTTAAGATATTGCTAAACCTCAATCTTTAATTTTCATTTTGTATATATAATTATATTAATATAAATAAACAAATGAAAAGTACTTTTTTCCTGTGAATCGTATGAATATCACAATAAAATCAAAATATTTTTTATTATTAGACACTTTAAGTACTCTTACAGATTTGTGATTTGTAAAATTATGTTCTAGTAGAACACATGTAATTTGTTATAAACAAATTATAAAAACAGATTACTAATTAAAGCGATCCAATTTTTTCGCCAAAACATGTCGCCAATAGACGAAAATGATAAAGAAATTCATTCTGTTCACAACGATGACATTCCTGATAATATGGAAATTGAAGATGCTGCATGTACTTTATTGAATTTTAAAAACAAAGATTTAAACCACGATCCCAAAAGATCAAAAATGAATCTATCACAAGATCACAATCATTCGAATGACGGAGAATCTGGTTCTTACCAACCTCCCAACAAAGGGAAAAATAAAACAACAAACATTGCGTCAATCCCAACTGATAAAACTGCAGTTCGGTCATCAGGACCTAACACAAACTTTCGATATCCCTTAACAGTAAAGGGTCAATGTAAAGTTTTAATTCAATTAAATCCTCAACGAGACAACGCTACGAACAATGAAAAACTACACAAAGTGTCATTCGGTCGACTCCTACATGCTCGCGATTCAATCCACAACAAGTCTGTAGTGGATATTAAATCAGATGGTATAGGTAAGCTTTGTGTTTTGATGAAATCTGCCGTAGATGCCAACAATCTCTTAAATGATAATAAACTCATGAAAAATAAAGGCTTTTTAGCATTCATCCCAGCCACCCTCTGCAGGTGTCAAGGTGTAATTCGCGATGTCCCATTAGGCATTTCAAACGACGAAATCAAACTAAACCTTGAAATACTAGGTCACATGTGAGGGAAAACCTCCGTCTCTGATGTCAGACGTCTAAACCGAAAATTCCAAAACAAGAAAACTGGTGCAATTAAATACAAAGAATCCCTTTCCGTCCTGATGACTTTCACAGGAACAGAACTGCCGGATAAAGTCGCGCTTTATAAGGCATCTTCAACAGTTTCTCCCTATACTCAACAAGTTCGCATGTGTCACAAGTGTCCACGATACGGCCACATTGCTTCCCAATGTCGCTCAGATGAGCGCTGTTCATTGCAGTGAAAAGCACACTCATTCTGCCTCCACTCCTTGTCCCAATTTGGATAAAGATCCAAAATGTGTCCACTGTCCGGAGCAAGATCCAACAATTCCTAAGAAACCTCATCGATCCGATTCTAAAGATTGCCCTGAATATGTTTTTTAAA